TTTCCAATGTCCATCTCGGCCCACGGTATCAGTGTTCCCAGTGCGATGTATGTAGTTTGTGCATAATTCTGCTAAGAATATCATGTGGGCATTTCGGAGTTGTTTACGGAATTCACATGGGATCTATGGATGAAGTCTCTCCCTCAGCTGTGCGGTCAGGTGATTGAGGAAAGTATAGGCGAAGGATGTGCTGGCCGTACTGAAATGCGAGGTATTATGGTAATTGTCACAGATCTTTCCGATGTATTTTATTAGAGGCGGACAATCGTGATTTTCGCTGTCTCAGAATCTTTTTAGACGAGGCACTTCAATTAACATCCATTCGGTTTGCCTGCTACACTGACCTCAACGCCCCCTGTTGGAAGCACATCTGACAAACCTCATCTTTTGCCTCATTTGAAGCTGTCTGATGATGTCTCCCCGTCTACCAATAAGAACTGAATCAAGAGGCCATCATACGTTTCGGCCAATCCGTCCAGAATCTCTGAGAGTTCCGACAGTATAGTGGTACAGTTGCTGTTCCTTGGTGATCGTGGATGACCCCGATAGTAGTAAATTCGTTATTAGTGTCACCCTTGCTCTGGTAGGCAGCCAGTAGTTCTACGTTTACCACAGGTCGCGCTCTATCTTGTGGTTGCTTTGGAAGAATTTGGCCTTATTTACGGCAAGAAAATTAAACATGCAGGTCTCACGAAAGGGGCCCTTGCCAAACAGGCACTGCACATTTTCGTCAATCTCATCGAACCAGTCGTTGACAGCGGTGTAAGTAATGCTGTGCAGTCGCATCTTTTTAATCTCGGTGCCTAATTCACACAGTACCTGCAACTGCTCGAAGTCGACGTTCATGTTATTGATGATATCCTGACTCCGTTTGGCAAGCTCGGTGTCGAAGGCTTCTGAGTTAGTAGCTGATCTGCGTAAAATCAATGTCATCTTTTCTCGTCCTCGATGTGATCAAGTATCTGCCTTAACCGACTGTCGAATCAGTTACCGGGGTATGTTTATTTTTCAGTGCGCAGCTTCGTGAATCTGCAGATTTGAGCTGGATGCAATGTGGGGCAAAGCAGTCGAACGCCTGTCACACTACACGCATGTCAAGCGCCTTTTATTCTTACTTCTTTCATCGGTCATGCTGTTTTAAACACACGATCTTGAGCGACCAAGTATTTATAAATTGGCGCCTTTCGCCGGCGTCTTCACTTGTGCTCTCCCTTATGACGCTTAATAATTCTACCTGTTATTTTCCTTACTCCCCGATCTACCTTTTAGCTGGTCCCCATTCGGTTACTATTCTGTTGTGCCGTACAGCCGGCTAACTATGGTGACTAGTGTTCATTTAAGGCACCCTTCGTCCTGCCCTAAAACAATTCCCTATTGCAACTAATGTTGACAGATAAACTTAGGTGTTAACCCTTGGGTGCGCACGAGTCCAAAAGATTGGTAAATGCTTCGCAGGCCGCATTTTATCTCTAACGACGCGCCGAAGATAGGTATTCGATAGAATTTCTTCCCCAACCCCTTTTAATTATCTTAAGCATCTTACCGAAAAATATCACTCTTATGCTTCAAATTACTGACCATTTATTTTTTTGCCTCATCCAATGGGTGCCCTAAAGAAGTAACAAGAGTCACGTCATTTAACCTCTTCTGCTAAATATTAGTTAAAGACAATAAGCAGTTTGCATGAATTTCGTTATTGTGGATGTTGCTGTTTCCAAATGATCTCTGTTCCAGGGTCTCATTTTTTGTGGCAAATTGTGTATATTGACTGAGCATACATGCCTCTGTTGTCGCTTGTTCCATTCTTCTGAATTTTTAGCACTGCGTTGAATAAGTGACATCCTCTTTCGAGCCTAACCTTTCTATATACTATGTTTCTGCCTACAAACTTGTTTCTGTGTCATGCAGAAGGCTTTTTGACCTATATGACGCAGTTGCGCGGGGTTTGGCACTTCAAAGGATCCCTACAGCGCTTTCTGTGTGCCTTCTGGTAGATACAATTCTACACAATGTTTTTGTTTGAAAAGTTAGGGTCGGCTTCTTATAAGTTGGATTTGATCCTCAAATCCCATCTCGTCTCCTCTAATTAGCTTTCGGAACGCTGTTCAGGTTACAATTTCCAACGTTTCCTTACTTGTTAAAATCTCCATAAGCTAACACGTTTAAGCTGAACTATCAGCTCGAAAACAATAGTTTATTGGTATTAGGACGCCCACAAATCGCTTTACGGCTGGTTTGGGTACGGCTAGCTGATGAAGACTAATAAGCTGGAAGTGACCCTTCCAGTCCCCTTGCCTTCTTTTGTTGTGTTATTCCGGTCGTATTTTTGATGATAGTTTTTTTCGTTCGATCGTGTGTGCTCTACACATGCATGTAAAACTGAGTTTTATGATCATCTGGCCTCTATCTGTTTCTTTTTCTATTAGTTTTAAGACAATATAAATGCTAGTCTTATATTAACTGCACATTGCGCTTCCCTCTGATAGGTCAAAATTCTCGTCCCAAACAGCACCGCCGGCATGATTATCGGCAAGAACGGCGCCTACATCCAAGAAATTAAGGAACGTTCCGGAGCCTACGTGCAAATTTCACAAAAGTCACGCGAATTCAATCTATCAGAGCGCTGCGTAATTGTTGCCGGTAAGTGTAACTACTTGCGTGCCTTCAACGAAGCAGCATTCCTTTTATCTGCTCTGTGTTCACGTTCATTTATACCAGTTTCGCATACGCAGGGAAACGAGTTGTATCAATAAGTGCTCAGCGACCTCGGTAGCCGTGCCTTACAGTCTCACTGCAAGGGCGCAGTTTGATTTCTTGGACTTAAATGAAGCCTAAGTCATAAGCGACTAGCCGGTTCAATTTATCAGGTACACAATGGGTGTTTGTATGTGAATTGGATTTTATTGAGGCGGGTTTGACGAACCCTGCTTCGACTTGCATTCATGAACCCAAAGCGTGCTAACGAAAGGGAGAAGTAACGGTAACTAAAGCTAGCCGTGGATGTAGTGATTACCAGGGCTGGATCGGCGTTTATATTTGCCACATTAATGCCACTTTCAACACCCATAAGAAGTTCTTGGAGTGGATCGCACCAGCATTTTTAACTAAATGATTGCTGCAAAAGTTGCATTAAGAGGGAGCAAGTAAAGTCAGATGCGACTTTCAGCAGGTGATGTTGATCCTGTTGAATAAGTCCAATTCTCACATTCTCTGTCTTTTCTCTTCTTATCTCCGCTCGACTTAAGCCTGCTGGATATTATATCCGACATCTTGGGACGAAGGCAGTCCATCGGAGGTTTTCTATGTACCCGTGGCTTCCATTTAGGTCTATTATAAAAGCATATCTAGTTTAGTGCCTGTCTGTGTAACTTGCGTTAAGGTCTCACCTCTCAGCTTAGGCGGTTATGTGAGCGCATACTGCTCACGCAGCCCTTGATGGATACAGCGGCAGATCGGCGGCGACTGTGCGCTGTTTGCTAGCTGCTGGTCCGTGTGTTCGCCCCAATGCTGCGTATGCACTCGTGCCGAATAAGAATTCTCACAGAGGCACACATGCTGCATCGTCCTCTCAACCCAATTACTACTACTCTCCCTATCTATTTCTATCATCTTGATGATAACATGTTGATGCGAAGTGCTTACCTCTCGATCCAAGGGCATCAACGAAAGCAAATTCAGGCCGTGGCTATATGTTTGCATTCAGAACCGACTGAATGCTTTCGTCTTACGACAACGAGACTGGTCGTTGTAGTATTTATCCATTCAAACCCTTTCAGACTTCGTATCTGCGCTCACTGTGGATTCAGTTGGGGAGGGGTCGTCCATTGACAACATTGTGCCCAGGTTGTCGTCCTTGGTGCTGCCGATAGATAGCGTGTGTCCAACAGGGTCATCTTAAGCGTTTCATGAACGTATACAGTGAAGTTAGGATGGGAAGTTGTCCAAATCTCTGATTTTTGTGTGTTTCTTCGGTTTGTGTTACCCTTAAAAATGCGAGTCTGCTTTTTAGTGCAGACCAAGATGTATTTACGAATTCGACAATTCGAATTCACTGGAAATTTTCCTGTCCCTAACTGCCAGCGTAGACCAGACTTTTTGATTTACACTGGTCTGCCATTCTTACGATGTAAACGCCCCATGTAGGCTCAGTCCGTTTTAAGTTTTCAGAGATGCTCTGTTTGTTATTTCATCGCCGGGATTACTATTACAAGGTTCACGCTGGCAAGGCTCAGTTATCGTACTTGGGTTTGATGGATGAACCATGTTTTTTTTTCTTTTTTGCGAAGCTTGGTCGACAAGGTGGCCAAGCACCTCTTCAGTTTGGAGTCGCAGAGGCGTAATTCAGTCTCATGTTGAGGATTGTAGCTTGTGAGGTTTTCATGAAGCTCTTTTGCAGCTACAGAGCGATGGGACTTTGAATTGCTGCATATTGAATAGGTGTTTCGAATGCATAATGATCTTTTTGTGAAACATGCCGCTGACACATTGACGCGGAAGGGAGACAGATCGTTCGTGCTTGGATTTAGCGTCTAATCATGGCTTTCATCGTTGCTAACTGACGAAATAACTCTGCACTGTCCAAGATTGATTGACAGGTTGATATAATTATGTTCCCGGAGGTATTTCCGTAACGTGATCCGCTGCCTGCAAAATTTACACTCGGTAAAAGTAACTACTTAGATAGTATGCTTTTGCTCTCGTTGCCTTTCGGTGCTTTTTAAGTTTGAATACATTTTACAGAAAACCAAAATTACATGTTCTTGCTTGTACTCATTTAGCAGTAAGCAACATCTTTCTCAAATTTTATAATTAAAGGAATAATTAATTCCAGGTTGGAGCACTTCTTCACAATGGTGAAATAAGTTTGAACTTGATCTGCCGTTACACTCGTACTCAGGATTTAAACATTAAAAACTCGCTACACATAATCTAGGGAAAATCGCATATTTCTCTATGCTGTTAGTAAGAATCCACATAGCCTTCATAAAGTTTATAATAGTCGTAGACCATATTGTACACGTTTTAAGCATTATTAATTGATGGGAAAGATATTATGTTTTATGATTGGACATTTCACGGTCTTGAAAAACCTAATGACTAGGAAGTTTTTCAAAACCGGTAACCACAATTTCTTCAGGTATTTTCTTTGATGAAGATGTACTTGGCTACCAAATACATGCAAGAACGAATGTTTTAATGCATGCTTTCTATTAAATGTGTTCGAACTTATGGGAACATCGAAAATCAATAATAAAAAGGTATATTTCTTAAGTAGTCACGTGTACCGAGTGTACATTTTTCCGGCACCGGAAAGAAATCCATTCAAAAGCCGGCATCCTTTCGTGACCCAAATATCTTTGGCTTATGCCGCAAAGTTTGTGGTTTATTACAACCCTGCTTAAGTAATGTCTTTGAAAGGAAAACCCTTTTTGGTATATTGGTCGATAGCTATTAAGATAGAAAATCTACTGTAAACAATTCTTACAGTTAACTGTACATAACAAGTGCAACAGATAAACAATCAGTCCATTTCTCCGTCACGCAGATATGCTTTACTTTCGAACGAGTTACGTTTGAACGGCCGTTTGTAACTCAAAATGGTCTTACACTGTTATGCGACAGTACTTTCCGCGGAACTATAATTTATATACATTATAAACTGATTTTACATTCCCCTTCGTCAGTACGTCTCAAAGTTCTGTTCTTAAGTGCGTTCACTTTGACAATATGGAGTGGAAAAGTACATGTTATGCCTTTTTATCATAAGCTGGACGTTCGGGACTGAATAGCTGTTCAAGTATATGGGGCATATGTTCCCACACCAAGAGCAA